GGGGCAGCCAGGCGGGGGGCAGCGGGCCGGACCGGGCCGGTGCCGCAGGTGCGCGGAGCTCGGGCGGCAGTGTCACCCTGTGCCGCCTTCCTCTCCCAGGTGCCATTTTCGAAGGCAATGCCGCCAAGGACGACGAGGTGTTCAAGCAGGCCGTGTCGGATCTGAACCTCAATGACGACATCCTCCAGAGCGAGAAGATCACCTACTCCATCAAGCTCATAGAAGCCAACAACCCTTTCCATGCGGTGCAGGAAGGTGAGCGGCGCGGGCGGCGCTCGGCTGGAAAGGTTGTGTCTGTCGGCGGTGGGCGCTGTCCTACAAGGAAAGGGCAGGGACGCGGCGCGCGGGCAGCTCCGCTGTCGCCCGCGGGGCCGGGCGAGCGGCGCGGACCCTGCCCGGCGCGTGCAGGGCTCGCGGGGCGCTGAGCGCCGAATCACGGCAGGCGGGGGCGGGGGTTTGGGAAAGGGGCGCGTTCGAATTAATCAGCTTGCCTTTATAAGTAAAACTCTAAAATATTATATGTGATTAAATAAAGCCTAGGTTAATTATGGCCCAGGTTATTTCAGAAGCTGTATTTTTTTCAGTAGTAATTGTTCTAGAAAAAGAGAGCTATTTATATCCCTAAACAAGAATATTGTAAAAAAAAAGATTCATCATCAGCCTTACCGTTAGTTTTACAGAGCACAGAGTGAATCTTTCTCTGTATGAAAATTTGCATTAATCCATATGTATTTGTGTGTAACTTCTTTACATGCAAATTACAGTTGCAAAATTACCAAATGTTAATTTTCATTAGCTCTGAACAATTTCTTTTGCTGTGTTTTTGTCTCAGCATGGGTGCTACTTAGTACCATGTGCATTCAAGAGAAGCAGCCAAAATACCTCTTTAAGGGCCTGCTACCATTAATAGTGAGATTTCTCATACTGCTCTGAAAGCTTAGCAAGGGGCAGCATGAAAAAAGATATATGCAAATGGGAAGAAGGGGGCTTCAAAACAAGACTCCCTCCCTACAGACACTGGAGGAAAATAAAAATATCTAAATAATGGCAGACTTGATTTATTGGTAAAAGATTAACTCTGGACAATGAGATATTCTTACGTTTGCAAAAGCTCAGTGTCCTCTGTTGGAGCTTATTCATATTCATGGCAGTGACAGCAGTTGACTGGCTGAACAAATGCTTTCCACAGTGTCTCTTCTCAGAAGCAGAACTTTATGAAACTATTCTGAATGCACGAGGGTCCTAACTGACAGTTCTGTGGACAGAGTCCCTTTGCTCAGTTTTGTTGAGAGGAGAAAGGCATGACTAGCTGGAAGATTCTTCGTGATCTAGCAGGATTTTGTTTGGATTGCTTATGCGAAAGGTTAATATTGCATTTAAGAAAGACTACTTTCAAAATAAAAATTCTCTGTTAAAATCATGGCAAAACCATGCGAAGTATTTTGGTAAAATTTTTGTGTATGCATTACAGAACGCTTGTGCTACTTAAAGATATTGAAGTAAAGATGTTGCCTAATATACCTTCCAATATGCCATTTTAGTGCTTAGTGCTTATGTTTACTACATTTAGAATTGTTCTTGGAGGATCTGTTAGCATGCTGGTGAATTAAGGAAGTGTTGATGAACATTCACAATTCCAAAGAGAAGTTGTCCTCTGTCACTACTTTATTAAGGTATGGCAAGGCATCTTCTTTTGGGAAGATGGCAAAATGATCCTATCTGTGAGTCAAAACCTTGCCATAGTAGGATTGCTAAGAAGAGTGTCAGCCTTTACTCAATTTCCTGCTTGCTTTGTTGGTTCAGGTCAGGCCTTTTTTATTTAAGATTTAATTTCCCTTTTTTGAAACTGTTATACAACATGCTGACAGGATGATGCATGGGGCGTACAAGTAGATGACTGTTCTTACCGTGCCGAGTCTTTCAGCCCAGTGCTATTTGGTGTCATTCTGACTATTCGCAATCTCATTGAATTCCGTTGTACAGATGCCCTGCTCAATTCAGGAGAATACTGTGTATAGTAGTCAAAATAACCTGGAGCAAATCCACTGCCCAAACTGCTCACAGAATGTTGTTGCAGCTACATAAAATGCTCTGACATCTGCATTATTCTTCGGCAGTGTCTCTTTAAGCAGTGCCATGGAAATCAGCATTGCAAGCATTAGTTTCATAGTGATGGAAACTTTTTATAGTATATATATATGTATAGAGAGAGAGAATTAAAATTGTTTGTTGTTATACTACTGCCAGAATAGCTCAGGTAATCAGACAAATCACAAATACTGTTTTTATGGGAACTGTCTTTTGCAGTTTTATGAATTGACATTGTCAATTGTCCCTTAAGTTTTTTGAAATGAATCCTTCAAGCATAGAGCTTCTTCTCAGTGGTGCTTTGCTGGTAAGATTATGGGAAGTCATTCTTCAGTGTAGTAAGGTCTTTTACACAGTAACAAGATGTTGATTGCTGATGGTGGTAGGTTTAAGTATGTGTTTGGCCTGGTACTTATGGTGTGGTCATGTAACTGCTACAGAAATGGAAGTGGTAGGAAAAGTAGTAACTTGCAGTGTTTGTTTTGTTTTCCTTCAGTAGGATCAATGTAACTGCAGAACTAATGGCCTGAGAGAAAATACCTTGCCTAATTTTCAGTGTGTGAAGATGCACAGAAGTGTCTTTACATGCTGGAAAAGCTTTAGAGACTTTGCTTTAGAGAGATTCATTGTGGTGATAGCTTCTGGTGACCAAAATAGGTAAAGAAAATTCAAAGGTCCTTTTCCAAAGTTTTGGAGTATACTCATGTTAGTGGTTTTGCAGCCTGTCAGAGAATAGTAATTAACAAGTAAAGTTGTGAGTGTTTTGTCTTTTATTTTCTTGTACATGGCCGAAACAAGATCTTGTTGTGCTGATAAGTAAAAAAGTTGTCTGGGCGCTGTCAGTCTCAAACTTTACAGAAAAGTGCAGCAAGGAAGGAGGGAATTATAGCAGCTAAGATGTGACAATAAAGAATAAACAGATCATGGTATATGCATTAAGTAGGGCTTTGTAGTCTTATCTGTGATCATGAGCATTTGTACTTTTTCTAATACTGCTTTTGTGCATGTGGCTCCAGAAGGAAAAAATGTTTTTTCACTGACTATATTGGGAGAAACTGTATATGAGGAATTGTTGTTCCTTTTGTAAGTTCTTAAGGAAATCAACTGAAGTCATGAACATGATGTTAAATTATATTCTTTCTTCCAAGGTAGCTACGTGCTCAATTTCTGTGAAGTGATTGAGATGTGAAATAAAGCGTGCTTGTTTGTGGGGTGTATGTTTAACCTAGTAATGTGGTAATCCTTTTTGTGATGAGAATTCAAAGAAGATCAAAGCTATGATAAATGCTTTAAAGTTTTCTGTTTGAATTGGGATTTTTGAGCCTGCCGTTGACATTGAGAAGTAACTTTGTGTATGACGTGTATGGAAAACACATTTCCAATTTGGCTTGAAAGTATGACTGTGCATACTGTCGAGGCTTCACTTTCATAGTAGGCTTTGGAGAAGGGGTTCAAAGGAGACAGTTATTCAGAAACTGAGAAACTTGGAGACCCATTTCTCAATGCGTGATGCTCACGTAGCTGTGCAACTTTGCTGGAACTGAAACTGGCTGTTCTCTTTGCATAGCAATTTTGGATGAATTGCTTCTAATTTGAGAAGCCTTGTTTGCCTGTTGACCTTAAAACTCTGTCAGGTCTGGAAACTGGAGTCAATTTGGAAGATCAGAATATGATTCCAGAGCAAGGAAGTGTTAAAGTATTAGATATTCTTTCTTCCAAGGTAGCTACGTGCTCAATTTCTGTGAAGTGATTGAGATGTGAAATAAAGCGTGCTTGTTTGTGGGGTGTATGTTTAACCTAGTAATGTGGTAATCCTTTTTGTGATGAGAATTCAAAGAAGATCAAAGCTATGATAAATGCTTTAAAGTTTTCTGTTTGAATTGGGATTTTTGAGCCTGCCGTTGACATTGAGAAGTAACTTTGTGTATGACGTGTATGGAAAACACATTTCCAATTTGGCTTGAAAGTATGACTGTGCATACTGTCGAGGCTTCACTTTCATAGTAGGCTTTGGAGAAGGGGTTCAAAGGAGACAGTTATTCAGAAACTGAGAAACTTGGAGACCCATTTCTCAATGCGTGATGCTCACGTAGCTGTGCAACTTTGCTGGAACTGAAACTGGCTGTTCTCTTTGCATAGCAATTTTGGATGAATTGCTTCTAATTTGAGAAGCCTTGTTTGCCTGTTGACCTTAAAACTCTGTCAGGTCTGGAAACTGGAGTCAATTTGGAAGATCAGAATATGATTCCAGAGCAAGGAAGTGTTAAAGTGTTAGTTTTTTTTTTTTTAATCAATCCTATGTGTACTGCCATCATTATCAGTGAAATGGAGAGCTGCTCATCTTCTGGGTGTCTGTGTTGTATACGGCTGAGTGAATTTGTTTCCTTATTCCTCCTATGTAGGACTTGTGAAAGTTATATACTTGGGGTAACTCTTGAGCTCTCTCTGCTCAGCACATTCCCTTCCTGGTGCTCCCAGCATTGCTTCCAAGCAATTTTTTTTTTGAGGAGTTAAAAAAAAAAAAAAAACAATCGGTGTGTAGCTACGTACAGAACTGGAGAACAGATCTCATAGCCTCTTTCGTTGTTTACATTTATTTGCCTGGTTAAAATTCCCAGTGCACATTCCTCTTGTACATAGCCACCCGTGCCTTGCCCAGAGCATTGGCTTTTCTGCATGGAGCTCTTGTGCAACTCGGGGCTCTATGTCAAGGTAGTACCAATGTCCCTGGCTAGAAGCCCACAGGTGGATCAGAAGCTGCAGTTTGAGCCAGTTATTGACCTCAAGCTATAGCTCTGTTTTCACTGTCAGGAGGATTTAAACTAGAATGACTGTTAAACATAGAGGAGGAAAACCCAGCAACAGCTGTGGGAAGATAACCCTCAAACACGGTGATAACGCTCCCCTTGCCAGTGTGTAAGTTCAGATCCAGCACCTTAGGCACTTGTGTTGAGGATACAGTGTCTCGAGAACTTCTGGGCAGCTGAACTCCGAGCTCTCTGGAAAGAACATACTGTTACATACATTATTTCTAGTTTTAGTCTGAGCTTTCAAC